AGGGTGTTGGAAGCCACAGCTCTTCACTTGCTTTGAGCACCTTTGGCCTGGCAAAGAATTTTGGTCTAAGTAGAACAGCTGTTGAAGTGCTAGGTAAAACCAACCTCAGGACTCAGGAATAGCTTACCTAAGTGGGGTGGCGACTATCTGTAAGCAGCCAAAGTACTATTACCTAGGGAAAAAGAATAGCACAGCCAGCCTAAGAACCCTTCCCAGCTGAGTCTGAGTGAGTGCTAACCTCCAAATGGTTTTCCCTGGTGGATGAGGTGATGGGGGGACACTATGGGCAATTGAGGCTGACTCTTTTAGACTTTAGACAGTGTTACATGTCCTTTTAATCTCCATCCTGTCCACAAAAGAAAACTTTGTCATGCATCAAAAAGATTTGAGAAACTACACAGAAGACTTGAAGGACTGCATGCTTTCTCTAAGCCTTAGAGGCAGAAAGAAGGGAGAGTGAACGTTGAAGTGTTGGGGAGGAGCTGCAAGATCTCCTTTATCTCCTAAAAGGTCAATGTGAAGCTGGAAAGATGGCTATGCTGGAAGAACACCTTTGGGCATAGTCAAGGCCTTCTACCACTATTGAATCCAGGTGAGGTATTAAGACACTGCCTCCAAGTGTGAGCTGAAGCACCTGCTTTTGAGGGAACTAGAAATACCATCAAGGAAAGCAATGCTCCCCCTCCTGAGGGGCAGAAAGTGGAGTAGTATAGTTGGACATGAGCTGGGGTGAGGTTCACTTTTGTTTGATACTCCAAAGATCCCAACTGTGGGATAAAGCCTCTGCTGCCCCTGTCACTAACTGTCTGTCATGTTGGCTTTACTCAGTTCCTCCCTCTGGGATCTGTTCCCCCATATGTAAAGTGCAGACATGCAAGAAAGGGGGAGATGGGTTATGTGAGCTGCAGAGTACTTCCCAGGGAAAGTCCTGTGTGAATCTGGGGTGCTTCATGACACTTATGAATTCTGTTTTGTCACGTTGGATTCTCTACTACAGTGGTGTCTAATGATTTTGCATTTCTGGGCCCCTTACACTGAGCTCTGAGAGACGGAAGGCCTGAAAATGGGGAGGAAGAGTATCATGTGGAGGCTCTGGACTCAAGGGCTGTGCTATCCCTTTCTCCTAGAACACTGAAGATCAAGCTACCATTGACAAAATGTTTCACAATCTGGATGGAAATGGAAATGAAGAGGACAGATTTAATGAGATTTTAGAGATTATTTATAATAATATGCACACGTAGTAGGAAGCTCTCTGAGGGCCTTTTCACCATAATCTCCTGAAGAAGGTATTTCCCTCTCCTCACCAAATGTAGGCCTTGCCTGATGGTAGTGGGAGTTAATAAATGCACTTGTGAAAATTTCTAGTATCTGAACACTTTTTTCTTTCCATGATCATTGTCCACCAACTGCACAAATTTTACCTCTGCTCCAAACAACCTCATTTATATCCTTGAGAACCCCTCTCTATTGGTTCACAAATATTTATTGAATGTCCATCATTTGTTCATTCATTCATTAATTCACTCATTTAACAAATGTTTATTAAGTATTTATTATAGCCAGAAGTCAAAGATATTAATTCATGGCCTTTTACAGAGTTTCATTCTATTGGGAAACACATGAATACACAAATCAAAATGAATCATATGCTACTCTAATAGGTAATGATAAGTGATAAGAAGAGAGCTAAAGTGAGGAAGTTGGGTTTGGGTAGAAGGGGAAGAAGTGGGATGTTGGGTTAGATAGGATGGTCAGTATATGCTTTCTGTAGGAGTCTGAAAAAAATGAAGGAGAGCAGCTTGCAGATGTTTGGTAGCCAGGAGTTTCTGGTAGACAGAACCAAGGTCCTGAGGTAGGCACATGCTTGACCTGCTTGAAGAATACCACAAAAGTCAGTATACCTGAAATTAGTCAGTGAGAGGAGAGTTGTGGATGGGGTAGGATGTGGGTCTACAAATGACATGAATATGATCACTTCAACAGTAAGTATTATTGTGATATATTACATTCTTTTCTTTTGTCTTAAGCCTGTGAAATCCAAAGTGCATTTTATACTTCCAGCATGTCTCACAGTTAGGGATACATTTCAAGTGCTCAATAGTCACAAATATCTCAAAACTACTGTATTGGAAGCTACAGCCTGAGGTCATTGGAGAGACAAAGGGAACTGGGCTATGGGGATGGTAATGGTGGTGACAAGGGGTGGTCAGATGCTGAAGACATTTTGTAGGTTGAAACTGACAAATGAAAGATTATTCCAGAGAGTTCCACCAATGACATTGGACTAGGTACAGGGATATTCAGAAATGAAAGACTCATTCCTTGTTTTAAGAAGCTTGACCTCAGATGGGATAAACTTTGGTCATCAGAAATCCCCATGAAGTGGCAGAAGTAAGCAAATGACATTGGGAATATTGTGGGACAGCAAGAAGAGGTCAGGAGTCAACTACACTCCCTGAAGGAGTGGACTTTTGGTCATGATGGTTGGGGTAGAATTTGAAAAGGGGAAAGAATGCAGAATTTGTATGTCCATGATCATGGGATAGTAATGAGCAATTTCTTTGGTGATCTCAAAGAGGGGAAGGGTTGGGAAGGAGTTGGAAAGAAGAGGGAGAAGGGACAGGAAGAAAACAGTTATGCTCTTGACAAATGTTATCAACACAGGGCCTGGGAGCAGGGAGGTGTTTGCTATGGTTTGAATATTTGTGTTTCTCCAAATTCATGTTGAAAGTTAATCTCCACTGCAACAGTCTGAAAAGGTGGTGACTTTAGTAGGTGATAGGTCATGACAGCATCACCCTCATGGATAGGTTAATGACTCATGGAAGGTGTGTACTGGGGTTTGTACACAGGGTGTCACACTGGTGAGGTTCATTAGCACTTGAGCCATGCCTCCATACCCAAGAGCTAATTATATTCTTACTAGCTAAACTTTTATCACATGTTCTAGGTTTGCTGCATTTTTCATAGCTATTTAATTAATTTCACAAAGTGAGTTTATATCAATTTGACTCCAAATTTATTTGGCAAGTTTGTTTCTTGTTGTGCAGTACCCTATTACTTTTTGTACATAGTTACTTTATATGTGGCAGTATTTTTGAAATGAATCAATATTTGGGGGTAGTTTTTAATTTATAGAAAGATTGGGCAGAAAGTACTGAGAGTTTACATATAACCTCCTCAGCTTTCTCCCTCTGAGTTCTATTGTTAGCATCTGGGATTATGGTAGTACATTTGTTAAAATTGATAAGCCAATATTGATAATTATTATTTACTAAAGTCTAAGATTTACATTAGGGCTCACTCATAGTGTTGTACATTCTATGGATTTTGATACATGTTTAATGACATGTGTCCTCTATCACTGTATCCTACAGAACAGTTTCATGCATTTGGACCCCCATTGCTACACTGAGTCCCAGCCTTCTTGCACAGGCCATGATCCATGGACTTTCTTCTGAGTGGTGAAGACAGTCCAGACTGACAGCCAGGAACTGTGCCATGTGTGTGTTGCATATTAACCACCTTGATCCCTAACAGGCACCTTGGCTGGTGCTGGGGTGGAGTGAGAGAAGCTTCCTCTGAAGGGAAAGCTGGAGTGTATGGCAACCATGCTAGGTGGAGTTTGTTAGGATAAAGAGGGCAAGGTCTCTTTGTTGTTTAGGATACCACTAGTGTCCATAGCCAGGCTTCCCTGAAGGCTGACTCTGAACTGTACACCAGTGCCCAGGTCAGTGCTGGCTGGGCTGAATGACTGACATCCATGCTGGATGGAGAAGGGCAAAGGAAAAAAAAGTGTAAAGATCACACTTGACTGCTTCTAAGCACTTTCCTACATGTTCTCTCAGCTGAGAACAAGAGACAAATGACTCCAGTGTGATGATGATCTTAAAATTAAGACACAGGCTCACAGAAGTCAAGGATGCCCAAGGGCTCAGAGATGGTCTCAGGTGCTGTCTTGGAGCTTCACACTAGTCTGAAAAATAGCCCCAGTGAGCATGGACACCAGCGCACTATGGAGACTGCAGTTTATGTCCAGACTGCCTTCTCATACCTTTTTCTCTTTCACTGGGTGAATTCTCTGTGCTAGTGCTTAGAAAAGCTATTTGAATCCATTCAGTTGAAACTTCCTGATGGGCAGCCATCTGTCTTCTTAGTTAGTGCTACTCTGTTCCTGAGGTTGGCCTGGAGCTTTTCACACAGTGATTCTGGGGATATAGCCTGCATTGAGGACAGACTTTTTAAAAATGGTAAATTGAGAATGACTGTATTAGGTAAATGACTAGAAAAAGATTACCTATATTGTCCAAAAATGTTAGTTCCATAAAATAAATGAATATCTACTGTTTTTAATAATAAAATCTATTCTTATTTCCAGGAAAAAAATTAACTAGTGACAAAGTTTTCAAATCAGACAATTTTGAGTTTGATACTTAGAAAAGTTGCTTAATCTCTCTACACTCATTTTTTTTCATCTGCAAAATAGACATGCAATCAGCAGCAGCTCACAGACCAACCCTGAGGATTCAGTAAGGTCTGAGTAAGGCAGGGTCTGGTGTGTTGTGAGTGTCCAGTCAGTCACTTCTTAACAAACAGGGGATCTTTTTTAAGAACAGTTTTTTAATGGAAGAATTGAAAAGATTAATATGTAGTTCCCATATAACTGGGCATGGTTTCTTCTATTATTAATAATTTCACACTACATTTTGTTAAAAGTAATTAATTTCTTTTCCCTGTATTTCCAGGCAGTGAAATCTGCTCTCTAAGCCTTTGCTAGGAAGTAGGGTGGAGCTGAATTTGAATACTGGGCCATGACCTAACATTGAGAAAAGTGCAGGGCACCAGAGTGTGGTTTGTTTTGTGGGGTGGTGTCTTTGCTTCAGGCAAAGGATTAGGTTGAGATGCAGGGTGAGTGAAATATGAGTGGCTCCTGTTGCAGTCAAAGCCACAAGTTCAAACCTGCAATTGAGCAACAGAACATTGTCTGGCAATCATCTAAAGATGAATAAGAAAGATTTCTTCACCCAAGGTTGAAGGTGAAACCTGAACTGCGTTATAAAAGCCTCCTTGGCTTATGTCCCTCACTACTGTTGGCTACTTGCTATAGCTCTATACCTGTCACTGAGGGGTAAGTGCCTTTTCCTTGATGGGGTCCTTGGCTGATCAATAGGATTGTGATTACAGGTGGTCACTTTGCAATCACAGGGTGTTGCAGCCCACAGATCTCCACTTGCCTGAGTACCTTTGGTCTGACAATACATTTTGGGCTAAATAGACAAGCTCTTGAATTGCTAGATAGAACCAGCCTCAGGACTAAGGGTCGGCTTAGCAGGGTGTGTTGGTAACCATCTGTAAGCAGCAAAAGTACTATCGCTTGGCAACAGCCCAGCCAATCTAAGAACCCTTCCTAGGTGAGTTTGAGTGAGCAATTACCTCCAAATGGTCTTCCCTGGTGGATGAAGGAGTGGGGGACACATTGGGAAATCAAAGCTGACTCTTTTAGACTTTAGACAGTGTTACATGTCCTTTTCTTCTCCATCCTATCCACAAATATCCACCTCGCTATTGATCAAACAAAGAAGAGAGACCCTAAAGCAGGACTGAAGGACTTCATGATTTCTCTAAGACCTAGATACAGAAAGAAGGGAGAGTGAATTTTGAGGGGAGGGGTTTGAGCTACCACTACATCTCCTTTGTCTCTTAAGAGGATAACGTGAAGCTGAGAAGATGTCTACATTTGAAAACTATTTGGAGGGCATCATCAACATATTCCACCAGTATTCAGTCAGAGTGGGGCATCCTGACACCCTCTCCAAGAGCGAGCTGAAGAAGTTGCTTGTAACAGAACTTGCAAACACCATCAAGGTAGGCAATGCCCTCTCTACTGAGGAGCAGGTACTGGAGAAGGATAGTGTGACAAGAACTGTGGTGAGGTTCACTTTTGTGTGAGCTCCCAAGGATGTTCTTCCCTGTCTGTGGGATAGTGCCTCTGCTGTCACTGTCCTTATCTATAACCTTGGTTTTACTCAGTACCCTTCTTTGGGATCTGTTTTCCCATATATAAAGTGAAGACTTGCAGGGGAGTGGAGAGGTGGTTTAGGTGACTCTAGAGCACTTCCTGTGACAAGTCTTGTGTGATTCCAGGATGTTTCATAACACTGAGGTCTTCAGTTTTGCCACACTGGATTCTCTAATGTGGTGATATCTGATGAATTAATGTTTCTGGGACCCTATTTTGAGCCCTGAAGGATGGGAGGCCTGAGAAAGGTGGGAAGAATCTTATGTGGAGGCTCTGAGCTCATGGTCTCTGCTATCCCTTTCTCCTAGAATACCAAAGATCAAGCTACCATTGACAAAATATTCCAGGATCTGGATGAAAATGGAGATGGACAGGTCACCTTTAAGGAATTCTTATTTCTGGTGGCCTCTGTGTTGGAGATTTCCCATGATAATATCCACAAGAATTAGGAAGCTCTCTGATGGCTATTTAACAATAATGTCCCCAAGAAGGTATTTCTCTCCCCTCACCAAAGCCCCACCTTGACTTAGGGGAGTGAGAGTTAATAAATGTACTTGTGAAAACTTCTGGTTTCTGTATACTTTTGATGCTTTCTATGCCCATAGCCCTCAAATTCCACACACCTCACCCCTGCTACCAACAACCTCATTTATACCTTTTAAAAGGTGTAAATGCTACATTTATTCACCAAATATTTATTGAAAGTCCACCATTTGTAATTCCTTGTCTTCTTCAGAACTTGCATTCTATTGGGAAATAAATGAACACACAAATCAAAGTACATCATATGCTAGTCTAGTAGGTAATAATTGAGAAGAAGAAAACTAAAGAAGGGAAGTAGGTTTGGAAGTGGTAGGAGTAGAATGTTGATTTAGATAGGATGGTCAGCATATGCTTTTGCACAGAAGTTTCAAAGAAATGAAGGAGAGCTGCTTGAAGATATCTGGTAGCCAGGAGTTCCTGGCAGAGAGAGACCAAGTTCTTGAGGTGGGTACATGCTTGACCAGGTACACAGAAGTCAGTGTACCTGGGGTATAGTCACTGAGATAAAGAGTTTGAGTGGGATGTTGGATATGGGTCTACAAATGACATTAATACCATCACTTCAACAGTATTCATTTATTATTGGGACATATTACATTCTTTTCTTTTGTCTTAAGCCTTTGAAATACAATGTATACTTCACACTTCAAATATATTCACAGACAGTGATAAATTTTAAGGCTTAATAGCCACACTGAGCTCACAGCTACTATATTGGACTCAGCAGCCTGAGATCATTGTTGAGACAAGGGGGCTGAGGTATGCAGATGTAAGGGTGGTGACAGGGTTGGTCAGATGCTGGAGACATTTTAGAGGTGGAAAGTAAGAAATAAAAGTGGAAACAGTGCAGAATTTGCATATTCATGAGCATGGGATAGTAATGAATAGTTTCTTTGGTTCTCTCAAACAGCAGATGGCGGGGGGGAGGAGTTGGAAAGGAGATGGTGAAGGGACATGTACACCATCGGGCCTGGCAGGAGGGACGTGTTTGCTATGGTTTGAATATTTGCTCTCTCCAAATTCATGTTGCAGCTTACTCCACAATGCAACAGTATAAAATATTGGGGGCTTTATGTCATGACAGCTCCACATTCATGGATCCATTAGTGCCTCATAAAAGGGATTGGTCAGGTGACTTTGCCCCTTTGTCCTTTCTTCCTTATGAGGGCACATTGTTCATCCACTCTGGAGAATGTATCAATAGGGCTCCATCCTGGAAGCAGAAAATAACCTTCATCAGACACTGAATATTCCAGATTCTTAATCTCAGATTGTGAAGACTCCCAAAACGAGAGAAATAAATTTCTGTCGTTTATAAAATATCCATCCTGTGGTATTTGTTCTAGCAGTACAAATGGTCTAAGACCATGGTTGATAAATATTCTTAAAGGTATGGATGTGTGGAAATAAGTAAGTCTGCTGGTTAATTTCCTACAAATGGTCCCACAGTCAGATAAGAAGCATGATCTCTCAGTGTGGGACTTACCTTCGAAAGGGACAGGTGTTGGTTGGGATCAATGTTCAATGGAGGGAAATGCAACTCATGTGATCAGTAAGAGTCACTGGGGTCCTTCCTTCCCTCTAACACTGTCTCCCTTCAACCAACTGCTGAGCCAGGCAGGATTAACAAGGAAATGGAATCAGAAGTAAGCCCTGTCCTTACAGTCACATTGACTTCATGGGAATGTCGAGAAAAGCATGGAAGAAGCCTCCAGGGTGGAGCCTTGGGTTTTGGCAGACCCTATAATGTTTGCTCCCCTTGGCTTTTCAGCAGTAGGAACAGGTCAGAAGGGCAGAATATATAGAGGAAGATTGGATAGATGCTGGAATTCCAGTATGACAAATATGGGGAAAAGCAAGAATGGGTGTTTTTATTGGGAGGGTGTTTCTTGGCTTATTTAGTATGAAGCCATGGAGAGATGTATATAGGAAGCTGGGATTCAGCACTAAGGCTAGTAAATAACAATTCTGGCCATCCCGGTCAGCAAAGCCCCATCTCCCAAAGAAACAACTGTATCTGTGAGATGTGAATTTGAGCTCAGCAAAACTGAAGCAGTAGGGAAGTGTGAAAAATGAGTGAGGAAGTCTAAAAGAATCAATGAGCTGCAGAGACTACTGCCCAGCTGCTGCAGAACGTTCTCCAGTTCCCTGGGAACTTTCTTCCTCTGTTACTCTGAGTTCTTCATTGGCAGCACCCTTGCTTCCCTTCATTCACAACACTGCCTTTGTCTACTCTCGTTTATGCTCCAAGCTGCTTGGAGCTTCTCTGGGTCTGGCACTACTTCTTTCATGCCAAAGCCCAGTTCAAATGACATCCTCCAGGGACTTCACGAAGGTGGGGGTGATGTGAAATTGACAGAAGAGAAAGAAATTTGAAGTCCAGAAAGGAGGACTCTGGATTGGCCCAATCTTGGAAGATTTACAACACCAGATGTGGATGAGAAGGGAGCATGCAGGGAAATGTATAGGACCTTGGGCAAAAAACCTTCTGGGCCTCTGTTTTCCTCATATTTAAAACCAAGTGGATTCTAAAAATTCATTTTAGTGTAGGTGAGCACTGAGATGTGATACAGTTTTACAGTTCTGAGATAATGGAAAGAAGGGTTCTTGAAGAGGATATAGATGGAGGGGGTCTTTGAATACATCGCTTATTGGGAGGGAGTATATGAAGGAGGGTATTTCTGGGCACTAAGGTATGGGACCAAGTGGATGAAGATTGAAGTTAGGTTTTTGATTTCATCTCCTAGTTTTACCACTTATAAATTGTAAGACCTAGAACAGATTACTTAAAATATTTAATGCTCAGTTTCCCCATCAATAAAATGTGGATAACAGCACACATTTCTCCCAGAGTTGGTGTGAGGGTTAGATAAACTCAGAGCATAGGTAAAGGCATTTGGCACAGCACCTGTTGCAGAGTAAGCACTCATCTGAAATCGGCCTTAACAGTAAGATAATTTATACAGGAGGTAATCATTGTTGACTCACTGTCTGCCACAGTCATAACAGCTAAAGATAATTTGGAATCAAAGCAAACATGGATATTTCTATGGGCAGCAGAGGTAGTGAAAGTTAACCAAGGGTAACTATGCAATTTCTTTCTCTAAAGGCCTTTAGATGACACCAAGCTGTGGGTCTACAGACTAGACTTGCATTTAATGAACACATTTGTGACCACTTCCGACATATAAAAAAATAAACAGCAATCAACAAGAACAAAACCCAGTGTATTTGCTTTTATGAGAAAATTTAACATCTGTGATTTTTTTTCATAAAGTCAGCTACACCACAATTGAACTGAATTTACAGAAAAAGCTTGAGGGCCATTGAACTTGGTCAAAATCCATCAATCATAGGTATTTAAGGGTGAAAACAACGCACAACTTGGAATCACATGAGCTTGGTTAAACTCCTGGATCAACAGCTTCTTCACAGAGTGAGTTTGGGTGAATGGCTCCCCTTTTCTGACAACAGTCTTGCCATCAGTAAAGTGCTGTTTGGATTAGCAATATCCAGTCCCATCACAAAAACAAAGACTAGATCCCATGACTGGTAGGACAAAACAGGCAAATAAGAGCGCCAAGGATCGCAGAGCCACAGAGAATATTGTCTAGATGCTATGAAACATTCTCCACTTTCCCAGGAATTTGCTCAGCTCTTAGTTTTTGCTCCTGCTGTCTTACTGATCTCTTCATTTGCTGTGACTTTGTTCACAGCACTGTCCCTGTATACACTAGTGTGGTGCCAGACTAAGAGTTTTCTGACTCTTTCTGTTTACAAGCCAAGACTCAACTCCAGTAAAGTCTTCTTGGGAGCTCATCTGCTCACATCCCCCCTGCATTTATACTGAACTCACATTTATAGTATACAGTAAAAACCTGGAGGGCAAGGGCCCCAACTTCACTTGCTTCTCTGATTTCACACATTGCCTAACAGCACTGGGCATGTAAAAGTGCAACTCTTGCCCTTTCACAACTCAGTCTGAGGAAACTTTCCTTTATCCATTTTTCTTTCCCAGTTCCCTGTCCCCAAGAAAAGACGACAGATGAAGAGTGCCTCTTCTGTGCTCTCAGCTGTCTTTGCTTAATACCATCTTTGCTAATTTTTTTCCACAAACCAGTGCTGAGAATATCTGTTTGGTTATCTGTCACCCTTACTAGATCAATGACTCCTTGAGGGCAGGGACCTAGCCCAGTTTTTGACACAAGGTCAGGATCAGTGAGCTCCTGCAGGGCCTCTTCAACACTCCCCACACCTTTGCTCTCCCTTGTAGCATTCAGAATTACCTCCAAACATAAATCATCTATTTGAGCAAACCCTTCTAAAGGTTCTCCAAAGTGCCTCTTCTGGAGGCTACTACTTGTCACATCTATTGTTCTTTCCTTATCAAGGCCTGACTTGGTTGCTTGTCACACCTAGCAGTCACCTGATCACATCTTCCTTCCTTAATTTCTCCGTGGACTCCATCCCCATCTGAAAAGGCCTAGGCAGCCAGTTCCATCACTTAGGCATTGTCTGACTTTCCCTGAGATACAAGCTCCAAGAGAGCAGGAAACTTACAGGCTTTGTTGACCCAGCGCCCTGTGTTTGGCGGGCTCTCACTGAATTTTACAGAATGAGCAAAGTGGTGAGTGCTGGCTTCCTTTAATGAGTCACTGTGCTCTGGCTAAGGGAATGAACAGCTGGCACAGCATGTCAGGGAGATGCTTGTGGTGATGCTGGGGAATGTGGGATAGGTCGACAGCAAGTGAACCACCTTGTAGGCACCTCTTTCTAGGCCTCAACAATATTTGAAGGCAATCATCATGACCTCCCTGCTAACTTTTACCAGACTTAATACCCCAGGCCCTCCTGCAGTCATAATTACATTTGTCATTATGTCTATGACAGACAGCACATATGACAGTGGTCTCTTAAGATTATGATAGACTTATGTATTTCCTATGGCTTAGTGATATCTACATAACATGCAATGCAAGGCAGTCCTCCTGTGCTTATGATGGTGTGTTGTAAATAAGCCTACTGAATTGTCTGTC